TGGAGTTAGTCATAAATCTACCTTTACAACTTAACCACTTCTGGGTTTCTAACACTTATACTTGGCCTAAATACAACACCACTACACAACACAAGATTATACAATTTACACAGTGTGGTTAATAGAATTCAGTTACACTTTACAGAATTACACAGTGAAATTAACAATTCAACTATTAACGCTAAACCAATAACTAATATATTTATACAATACTTACAAATCCAGCAACGATAACAACATAAAGACACACTAGAACTCGGCGCATGCTCAGGACTTGTGCACCCCTATCTTTGACTCGAAGGCTGGAGAGGCAGCCTCAGGGTGATCAGTCCTTCAGCCAGGCAAAAAAAAAAGACACGTGCCCTCAACACTCGGAACCTCCGTCGAACAAAGGGGTTGAGGGTTTTTTATACAAAAATTCGATGTCTAATGCCATGCTAGGGTCTGCATTTGGCAGGGTCTGATAGGCTGGTAATGAGGTAGTATGACAATACTGCCCTATAGGAGTTTTCGTGATGCATGGGTGATCCCCTCGTGGACAGGACCAGATGGGGCATGGTCAGTTTGAGACAGTTGTGCTTTATTACCTTATGTTTATTTCCCTTGCCTCAAGGACCGGTCAAGCCACGGTCAAACGAGCCTTATCTGTTAATTACAGCTGGGCACTATCTAGTCATGCTCACCTCCCTGTTTTTCGGCGCCTGTGAGTCCCCGGATGCCTGTAAAGTTAAATTCCGTTCACAGAAAGCTGCATTGTGCTTCCCATGCTCCTCTGAGTATCTCACGGTCTGGTTTCAGTGAGGGGCCTAGTGTGGCAGGATGGGCTATACGTGAAGGTCATGGTCAGAAAAAACCTGCTCTACAACAGCCCGGGCAGTTGATATGATTGCTCCTAAGCACCCTCTTCGGACCAGTTGATCCAAGTTTGCTCCCAGGTTTTCTGGGGAGCTGATGGCAGCAAAATAGTCTGTGCGACGGCTAGAACGCCACTGGAGGAGAACTAGAGCTGAATCTGATCGACTGTGGGTTAGAGCTGAACTGCGAGCTTACTCTGTGGCAGTGTTGACAGCAAAGAAAACCTACTTCTCCACCCGTATCGCGTCCACACAATGCCGTCCAGCAGAATTGTTTCGAGTAGTGCGGGGCCTGTTGCAACCTGGCATGATGAAATAGAGGAGCCTTTGGCCCCTCGCTGCAGTCTGGTTGCAAAGCATTTTGCAAATAAGATCACCTGCATCCAGTTGGATTTGGACTCTGGTTGCTATGTAAGTGTGGCACACAATGTGTTGAGTGCACCACCCAGTCTTTTTTCTCTGGATCGATTTCCGCTATTGAAGACTGAGGATGTCGACAAGGTGCTTGGAGGAGTGCGACCGACCACGTGTTCACGTGCCCTGCCCTTCATGGCTTATTAAATCTAGCCGGGAAGGGATGACTGGCTGAGTCCAGGGGATTATTAATGCGTCTTTTAGATCTGGTATGGTTCCTGCTGCCTTGAAAGAGGCAGTGATAAAACCGTTACTCAAGAAGACTTCCCTGGACCCACATGACTTAAATAACTATCGCTCAATTGCTAATATTCCCTTCTTGGGCAAGGTACTCGAGTGGGCGGTGGCGCTGCATCTCCAAGCTTTCTTGGAAGAAACATACTACTTAGATCCATTTCAGTCTGGCTTTAGGCCTGGTTTTGGAACTGAAACAGCCTTGGTTGCCCTGGTAGACAATTTACGCCAGGAGATAGACAAGGGGAGTGAATCCCTGTTGATTCTCCTAGATCTCTCAGCGACTTTTGATACTATTGACCATGATATCCTTCTGGGACACTTGGCAGAGCTGGGTATTGGAAGCACTGTTTTGCAGTGGTTCCGGTCCTACCTGTCAGGACGCTTTCAGAAGGTGGAGCTAGGGGGCTGCTATTCGACCCAGTGGAGATTGTGCTATGGGGTCCCGCAAGGTTCCATCTTGTCCCCTATGCTGTTTAATATCTACTGAGAGAGGTCATAAGGAGTTTTGGAGGACGGTGCCATCAATATGCAGATGACACCAAACTTTATTTCCCTGTGACAATAGAACCAGGTGTGGCAGTGACTGATCTAAATCGGTGTCTGGAGGCACTGATGATTTGGATGAAGTCAAATAAGCTGAAGTTGAACCCAGATAAGACTGAGGTCCTGTGGATCAGGAGGCCATCTGTTCATGAATGTGGCATGGCACCTGTTCTAGACGGAGTTACTCTCCCCCTGGTACGCAGCTTGGGAGTCCTCCTGGGCCCTTTTTTAAGGGCTTCTAGTGGAGGGAGACCAGTTCCAACTAATGGGATCTCATCATCATGCAGCAATGGGACGACCAGCAGTGGCTCCAGAACTTCTGAATGTAGAAGGCCACCTTCCTGGAGCTCTGTCCCTCAGGCAACAGAACACCCACATGAGACCCAGCATCCGTCTGCAGAAGTGCATCACCATCATCCTATGGAAGCTTGCCACGCTGGACGGCTACCGCTCTGTGCGAAACCAGCTCAGTGTGAAGAAATCCACCAGTCAAGACCGTACTCCTGCAGGTTATCGAGGCCATCAACGCCATCTTGCTGTGGAGAGTCATCGCTCTGGGGAATGTCAACCCCATCATGAATTGCTTTGCCATCATGGGCTTCCCCAACTGCGGAGGGGCCATAGATGGCCACAGGGGCCACATCCCCATCCTGGTCCCTGACTACTGTGCCTCAGATGATATAAACAGAAAAGGGTACATCTCAGTAGTGCTTCAGGCCAGGTGGACCACAAGGGCCGCTTCATGGACATTAATGTTAGCTGGTTGGGGAAGGTGCATGACACCCACTTCTTCCAGCACTCAAGCCTGTTCCAGAGGATAAATGCCAAGACTTTTTCCTCAACCACACCATCAGGGTCGGGGAGGTGAACATGCCCATCTGCATCCTGGGCGACGCAGCCTACCCCTTGCTCCCCTGGCTGATGAAGCCCTGCACCGGCAGCCTGGACCCCACTAAGGAGAACTTTAATGGCAGGCTCAGCAGGTGCCGCATGGTGGCCAAGTGTGACTTTGGCTGCCTAAAGGGAAGGTTCAGGAGTCTCCTCACCCGCCTGGACCTCAGAGAGCGAAATATCCCCTATGTGGTGGCGGCCTGCTGTGTTCTTCATAAAATATGTGAGAGCAAGGGGGAGACTTTCCTGCCAGGGTTGGGGGCAACGGCTGATTGGGTGGGCAGGGCATACGAGACGCCAGACATCAGTGCCATTAGGGGGCTGTGAGACTCTCCCTTGGGCCTCTCCACAAGGGGCCTTTGCATTGCTCCTGTGTGCCTTTCCTCCCTCATTTCTCCCTTCCCCTGCTCTCCTTTCCCACCTTCCTCCCTCCCCTCCAGAAAAAATAAAAAAGCCTTTTTGTTTGGAAAACACAACTCTCTTTGATTTTATTTTGGGGATATGCAACAGAGGAGGGACTAGGGAAAG